GTTCAATCGACTCATTTGGCCCTGGCAGTGCTTTGGCTTTTCGTGCAGTACACAAAAGGTAGTGACATTGGTGGCTCGGTCTGGCCGTCCAGTCCCCACATGTCAGTGTGAACTTTACAATCCCAGTTGTCATCATTCGTTCGAACTGACATGCACTTTGTCTGCCGCCACCTCGCACTGGACGAACGGCCTTGGAAGTTGCTCAATTGGCTGCACGCGGGTAGCGCTCTGAAAGGATCTTGGTGCGCATGCTTGCAATTTCATGCAAAAGTGGCAGGCTGTTTCATCTTCTGGCCGGCAAAGTGTGGCTTCAAGGTGGTTACGGAATTGCAGGTGAGGTGACTCACGAAGGACTGGGCAAAACCCATTCATGCGGTCGATTCGGCCAAGGGTTTCCACTTGACTAACCCAATGGCCGGTGAAGATACTCGCAATGCTGCGGCGTAAATTTTCCGCTATTCTGCCCCTCTCACGGACTTCGTGCCAGTCAAGATGCGGGAGCTCCAACGCAGCGTTGGTTTTGCTGCACTTGAAATCTGACCAAAGTTTTGCTCTCCAAGCCTGCAGAGCCAGTGGGAAAGCAAAAAGTTTCCATTTTCAGGTCTGCAAATCAAGTAGTTGACCACCCCCCCATCTCCGTGGGCTGATATACCACCCATGTCGCTCCATCCTTGGTTTGTGCGATGGTCCCGGATTTTACTGCAGGGTTCCCCAACAATTTCTGATATGATCCAAGTGCAGGAAGGTACTCAAGGCTTGCTGGTATCCTAGTGGCATCTCAAAAGCCGGTCCACAGACCTGTTCGTGACATGTCTTGATTGGTAAGAATGCAGTGATCACATCTCTCACGGTGTCATAACTTAAGTCACAACCGCCCATCGTTCTCACGTTCAGCCTCAAGTGCCATCGCAGTGGACCAGCCGTTCTGCTCACCAGTGTTGCCACCATAATGTTATCTGGCTGCTAAACTCCAGTACCTTTGTCAGCAGACTGATATCCAGCGCAGCCTGTGGCAGAGAAAACCTCATACTCATGCTCAGTAAGCGCCATGGCTCAAAACCATTCAGGTCAACGTTTCCACGTACTACCAGTCTGGCACTATCTGGCGGTCAGCTGTGCAAGATTGTGCAAGCAAGCAGTGCAGTTGACGACTAGGTCTAACTAAGCCAGCATCTACAAACCGTGCATTGTCACGCTGCATTCTCTCAAGCAGCTCATCAGTGATTGGATTTATCACGTTCTCAGCTCCTTCCATCACTTCAGTCGCTTCAGCTATCAACAGTGCTACATAGGTCTTCACCGACCAGCTCCATTCTTCCCAGCGTTCCATCTTGCCATTGAGCTTGTCAGACGGTGGCAGCTCGTTATTGTTTCCACCTAGTGTTCCGCTTTCTCCCAGCTGCGCCATTGCTTCAGTTCTATAGCACGGTTGCGGCTGGAGTCAGTGCCCGCGCTACCATACACAATTTCTGGACCTTTTACCAGTGCAGCTAACAGCTGACAATTCTACAGTCAAGCAGCCTACAGTCTCTGGAACCTTTTCGTGTGGCCTCTTGAGCCAACAGGCATGTTGGCAGTCACAGTCAAATCAGTACGATCATGGAGTGCGCACTGGGTGCAGCGGGCACGTATCTTTACACAAACAAACAAACAAACAAACAATCAAACAGACAGACAGACAGACAAACAGACAAACAGACAAACAAACAGACAAACAAACAAAGAAACAAACCAACCAACAAACAAACAAACAAACAAGCAAACAAACAAACAAACAAGCAAACAAGTCAGGTATGGCAGGCAATGTGCATACCAAGGTCAGGTCGGTTGCAGACTTGCTTTCTGTCATGCCCTGCTGCAGCCATTGAGGCATGCTGCCAAGCTTGTATGTCCTTCTCCCTGCTCTCTTTTTCATAAGGCTGCATGGGTTGTTGCATGTCAAAGAAGTGCTTGCTTTCATGATGGGGTTGTATGCCTTATGTGACCAAAGCACGATCACAACGTCTTGTTTTTGCTTGCGTCCTCACAGCCGATTCACTTTGCTTGGCTTTAGCGGCTAGTTCTTGACATCTGTGCTGTTTCTGCAGGTGAAACCTTTTTGGTCCAAGAATCACATGCCAGACCAAGTCTTGCGGGCAATGGGGGGTTCAAGAGCGCTTTCAGATTTCTCTGACATGTCCTCAATCAAGACTTGCTTGCATGTGCTGAGGGGTAGCACGCCATTTCTGGAAACTAGCAGAACCTTGCAATCTATAGTTGGATGCTTGCATTTTAAAATGTCAAAGCTGCATCCAGTTGGACACACTACACTGAACTTTGTACAAAGGCTACACACTGCAGCGGTGGCAGTGCCAGTGAAAACATGTAAGCGCCCAACCCTCAGGGTGGCAGGGACGATGGCCTGACGGGCGATTCTAGTAGAAACTCTATAGCATCACTGGCAACTTCTGTCGCACACCGCAAACACGTGCAGAAACCTGGCCTCGGACTCGGTGCAGCCTTGGTTTTGGTTGATAGGTGCGGCGCGAGCGTTGGCCGGGGCCCTCCCGAAGGTCGAGCAGGTCGTGGCGGCGCTGGAGGCGGCAATGGTGGCACAGCTGGTGGGACAGCTGCTGACACAGCCGGTGGCACACCTGGTGGCGGCGCTGCTGGCAGCATGACTGGCGGCACAGCTGGTGGCTGTAGGGGGGTCATTGGGACCGGTGGCAATGGCACCACAGGCAGCAGCAACGGTGCAGCTGGTGGCAGCAATGGTGCTGCTGGTGGCAGCGGGGGCAGCAACGGTGCTGTTGGAGGGAATAGTGGCGCTGTTGGTGGGGGGGGCGGCAGTGGTGGCGGGGGTGGGAGTGGCAGCATGCCTGTCAAGCTGTGGCTCACGAGACGACACTGTTCAGCACGTTGATCATTGTCTGAAGCACAGTCCAGCCTCCTCCAGGTTGTCTTTGACCAGGCGGAGGTGGAATAGCTGACAAGTAAGTAGCTTGTGGCACAGATCGCCTGGAAACCGAATCAACAAGAGAACCCAAAATTGAACCTACATAGCTGTTGGCATAAAAAAAAGGCTGGTAAGAAAAAAGAGGGTTGGCTTGACAAAGGTGCACGGTTGAAGTGTGCAGAATCAAGAATCGAGGATCGAGGATCGAGAATCGAGAATCGAGAATCGAGGATCGAGAATCGAGGATCGAGAATCGAGGATCGAGAATCGAGAATCGAGAATCAAGAATCGAGAATCGAGCAGCGAGGATTGAGGATCGAGGATCGAGAATCGAGAATCGAGAATCGAGAATCGAGGATCGAGAATCGAGGATCGAGAATCGAGGATCGAGAATCGAGAAACGAGAATCGAGAATCGAGAATCGAGGATCGAGAATCGAGGATCGAGAATCGAGAATCTAGGATCGAGGATCGAGAATCGAGAATCGAGAATCGAGAAAATCGAGGATCGAGAATCGAGAATCGAGGATCGAGAATCGAGAATCGAGAATCGAGGATCGAGGATCGAGAAGCGAGGATCGAGGATCGAGGATCGAGAATCGAGAATCGAGAATCGAGAATCGAGGATCGAGGATCGAGGATCGAGGATCGAGAATCGAGAATCGAGAATCGAGAATCGAGGATCGAGAATCGAGGATCGAGAATCGAGAATCGAGAATCGAGAATCGAGAAAATCGAGAATCGAGAATCGAGGAACGAGGATCGAGAATCGAGGATCGAGAATCGAGAATCGAGAATAGAGGATCGAGAATCGAGGATCGAGAATCGAGAATCGAGAATCGAGAAAATCGAGAATCGAGAATCGAGGAACGAGGATCGAGGATGGAGAAAAACAAGATATACAAGATTGGTTGGGGATCGAGGATCGAGGATGAAGAACACTAGCGGCGTGCGCAGTCAAGGTTTGGGAACAATATGCATACGTAGTGTTTGGTAGGCATGTGTGTGAACGGGGCATAGTTCAGTACCCTCATTGATTCATGTCGGCATGTAAATAATGAAACAGTGTACCCTTGGCAAGCCAACTTGCAATGGTGAGGGAAGCAGAGAATTAGGAGGGTTGTCCAATGGTCATCGCCTCAGCCGATGCCCATGATGTCCATGATGCCGCTCTCAGAAACAAATCAGAAGCAAACAAGAGACTTTGACACGTTGAAGACCCAGTTCAAAAATGTTCAAAAGATTCCGATTGGACGCAGTTCGTATCTCTCGGTGGAAGTGTAAATGCAGTGAATTTTTCTGTTGTGGTCATATTATTCCTTGGAATATTGCACTTTCAGTCGCACATAGGACGACGCATCGGTTCCAGTCACATGTTCCTCTCCAATCACAGGACAGGCAAAGAATACATTTCGCTCAGATGCATGACTAAACTCTACCAACACTTCCAGTCATCATTTCATTCTTCTCTGACTTTGTGAGTTTGCGTGCGTGACAGTGCCTGCCCTCAAAATCAGCAAACCTGTTGGGATTTGGGCCCACCCCTTGTCTTGAAGAGAAACCGTGACAAATTGCGAAAGCAAATCGGTCGGATAGGAGAAACAGGGATAGCTAGCCTCTTGCGTGTGACCTTTCCGGGTTTCCAGAAAGTTAGGCTTACAGTGTTGACAGCCAAACCAGTCTTGAACAACTTGTTGCTGTAGGCAGGGTTGGCTAGCCACCCTCACATTGACATGTTGGTGCGGCTGTTTGGGGCTGGCTAGCCGCCCCAGTGTTTCATTTCAACATGATCTAGAGAGGCAAGGAGATGAAGGACTGTCACAAAGTTCTCTTTCTATTTCGCCTGCTTGCTGTGGTCGTCTGATGTAGCGGGTCTGAAAGTTTGATGTGGGGCATCTGGGAGATTTTGTTAATTCCAAGATTAGTGATTCTGGCTTCTGTGCTGAGCAGCACACATCCAAATGTTACCCAGTGTCTTTGCAAACTTGCAACCTCCCGGCACGTTTCACATACTGTCTTTGCTCTCTGGCGTTGCGGCTCAGTTGCCCGCATGGGCGTGGAGGGCCATGGCGCATTTCTCATTGGAGCGTGTGTTATCTCCTGTGCCGACGTCTGCATTTCCCGCTGTTTCAGAAATTCTTTCCTCGATACCCTCGCACCTTTGCCCTCCATTTTTGCAGAAAGTGCTGGAAACAAAGCATGAAGTGAATCTAAGCCTGAAGCAAGTGGAGAACGTTTTGTGGAAAATCGAAACCTTCTTGCCCTGCATGGTGAGTGTGTCTCATCCGTTGGGACAAAACCCGTTCCAGTTAAAGAAGTACCAGGAGCTTGTCCCAGATGTTCCCACCGTCTGCGTGCCGTCTCTGGTAACGTCATGCACTTGCTGTGGTGGTGCCTTAGAGGACAAGGCAGGTAGATCTTCTTCCCGCTTAGTGAACAATTTGCGTGGAAGTGATGAGATGGACAATCGTTTCCTGATTTTCACTCAAGCAGCTGGTGTTCTCTTTGCGGAGTTCAAGGAAGGGTTTTGCTCTGCTTGTCGGTTGTATTTTCTTGGTTGCTGGCAATATGAGAAAAAGGCTGGGGCCTTTCATCACATGGACAAGCTGCACTGCTGCGGGTTACAGGCGGATGTGGATGTGTTTGCGCCTAGGCATCGCTAAGGTTGCATGTTTTGTGCTTTCATTGAAGAAATTTTCTGCGGGTTATGTTCATGACGGACAGAAGTTTGAGTTTGGCTGACACGCAGTTGCTTCACATCCCCAGTGTCAGTAGGCTTGCGTTGTTACGCTCAGGTCGTCCCTCGTTATCGAAGCTTCTTCGCCGTTGAAATCGGCTTGCTGCATTCAATCACAGATGAAATTTCCCATAGCGGCGCGACCTTTTCCTCTGCTGTGCTGCGATGGGTGAAGCAACACCCAGAAGAGGGCCAAGTTCGACTGCTGCAAGGAAAGGACCTGACCATGCTAGAGCGTTGCCGCAAACGGTTAGAAGAGGCCTGGTACTTATATCACTGCAGCAAACTTAGCTGCGAAGCTTTGCGTGGCATCCAGTGGCGCTTGACGCAGGAGAATCATGAGATGTGTAGTTGCTTGGTTTTCAAATTGCATTGTCAGAAGGAAATCTACAGTTTTCGGGTACGAGCAAATGGATGATAATCAAGTAGCTGCGGCGCGACAATCCTAGTGTGACACAAATGAGTTACATTGAGCACTTCCAGTTTTGTAGGGTCGTGGAACCAGGTTTTTGCTGTTGTGTTGAAATTGACGGAGCTTTGCCAGTAGGGCTGAAGATATTTCCAAAACTGTGGCAGGACTTAGATAGCTTTGAGGCTTCCTTGTCCCAAGTTCTACCTCATTTGCGGAAGCAAAGGCTGAACAAAGTTGCGGAGCACATCCACAGCTGCCCCATATGTCAGCAATGTGTGTGGATTTTGTTGGATGGAAAGCAGGGTGCTCGGCGATTCATCTGCGCCGGTCTAGAGGGTCATCGAACATTTGCAGATCTAGGGGTGTCAATTTACACTGGATGCATGAATCACGCTGGGCCCAACGATGTCTTTTGCAAGCGTTGTCGCCCAAGCAGTTTGCTGCAGAGCGCTTTGATTCCACAAGAAAAAGTGCTACAAGTCGAAACTTGTCCATCTGAAGACGGTTTGTCAGTGGAGACTTGGTACTTGGTCCGTTGCAAGTGTCCACAGAATGGCATCTTCGAAGCACCTTTGCCCCGCAAGGAAGTGCGCGCAGATCTACTGGCAGAGTTCGAGAAAGGGGCCTTGCCAAAAAAGCGAGATCATGGTAACCTGCGTACTCAATTTCGCTGGCTGAAGAGTGCTCGCATGGTTCGTCAAGCTGCCTTGAAGCGCGCTGGGCCATGCAAGCCAGCGCGCCGTGGAAGAGCCAGCAAGAAGGAGGAGGTCAAAAAGCTTCCGGGCGGATGGCTGTCGCAGGCGTATGTCGCATTCCTCCGCGACACTGACAAGTCTACAGATGGCAGTGAGCTTGCTGAGTGCGGTATTGATAAGGAGAAGAAAACTTTGAAGCGCAGGCGATGCACAGGTGGCATTTTAACTGCTACCCTTTCCTGTGGTCAGCTGGTGGATTGGCTAGAATTACCTCGTGGAGAAGCCCTCGATGTAGTGTACACCTTTGTTCTGGATGTGATTAAAGAGCTCTCCACCCGGCAAGTGCAGGTGAAGTGCGTAGGGTATGACAACGCCTGCCGGCTCCTTGCAATGGCTGAGCGTTGTGAGAATTTGTGCAGCCCATGGACCAACAAAGTGACGGAGTGTCGAATTGTCTTGGATAGGTTCCACAAGGAAACCACTCTTGGTGTCTTTGTCATCGCCCGCAGGCGCCAGGGAAGTTAAATAAGAGGAATACAAACAAAGGCAATGTGAGAGAGAAAGTGTTTCAATACCGAAGCAGGTTGGAAATTTGCGCGTTCGCGCTTAGCATTTGCCTGCAAGGTCATGTAGTTTGTTCAGCAGTGAACACCCGTAGCAGTACCACCGTCTCTTTTGCATCCTTGATTTGGGTCACAAGCTCATGTGTCTTTGAAAAGGATTGTGAAAGCATGTGCAATGCATTGGCCGCGTCCATTCTCCTCAACCAAATGCTGCCAGGTGGATCCAGGTCATCCAGACAACATTCCTTTGCTGCAGTTTCGCAACTCGGAGAGCTGTGAGCAGTTGAACGCATGGATCTCTGGTCGCACTGCTGCTGCCTTGAACTTGACAGGCGCTAGATTTGGTATCTATTGGCATGCTCTTTTTGCTGAGCACAATGAATGGCTGGAGCAATGTAGTGCGGCGCGTCGTCGTCGCTTCCAAGCTGGCTTCTTGAAGAGAAACCCAGACAAATGCGAAAGCAAATCGGTCGGATAGGAGAAACAGGGATAGCTAGCCTCTTGCGTGTGACCTTTCCGGGTTTCCAGAAAATTAGGCTTACAGTGTTGACAGCCAAACCAGTCTTGAACAACTTGTTGCTGTAGGCAGGGTTGGCTAGCCACCCTCACATTGACATGTTGGTGCGGCTGTTTGGGGCTGGCTAGCCGCCCCAGTGTTTCATTTCAACATGATCTAGAGAGGCAAGGAGATGAAGGTTTGTCATAAAGTTCTCTTTCTATTTCGCCTGCTTGCTGTGGTCGTCTGATGTAGCGGGGCTGACAGTTTGATGTGGGGCGTCTGGGAGATTTTGTTAGATAGTTCCAAGATTAGTGACTATGGCTTCTGGACTGAGTGGCACACATCCAAATGTTACTCAGTGCCTTTGCAAACCTCTAACCTCCCGACACGTCTCACACACTGTCTTTGCTCTCTACTTTCTGGCGTTGCAGCTCAGTTGCCCGCATGGGCTTGGAAAAGCCTGCTCATTAGCCGGCTGAAGGCTAGTTGCAATAGAGGCAGCTTGTTTGGGTCCAACCTTTTTGGCACATCTCACCACTCGGAGGAAGGCTAAGACATATAGCATCCTAGAAGAGGTAAAAGCAGTTATAAGTCAGCACGGCTAGGTTTGACAGACGCGCAGCCATGGGTCGGAAAGGCCGTAGTAAAAAGGATGCGGCGGAAGACCGCGATCCTGGAATGTGCAAAGCAGACCTCTTGCTGGCATACCAACTCATGGATACAACCACTCCATTCCCTTCGGCCTCTGTAGCTGCGAGGCAACCTCTGGCTTGGAAGGTTTGCTGCGCGTTGGCCCAAGCAGCTTCCTTGCATCCTGGGTGCATGTTTGTGCACATGTTGTGCTTGGTGGCTCTGACTCTCAACGCGGTGCAGGTGAAATACTCTGGCTTGCTGGGAAAATTCTGCAATTTGATGGTCTTGCAACATGGTCTGCCGGGGGACGGCAAGAGCATAGCGCTGTGGCTAGATCTTCACATCCTGAGTTACTTTGACAAACTGAGACTCTGGGTGGAAAATGGACCTGATAGTCAAGTCACCCATGGTCACGTCACACATGTCCTTTATGAAACAGTCTTGGTAATCATCGGGCAGATAACCATGAAAGCATGGGCATGAGTGAAAGTAATAGGGCAGGTCACATTCAATGTCATGCTGGTGGCTGTTTCTGTCGCCGCAGCTCAGGAGACAAGCGTGCACAGGCGAAGTACAAGGCAGAATATGAAGTGTGGCGGAGATCTGGCTCAGGGCCAGTAGAAGAACCGACAAAGCCTCCACCTCAAGATAGCATTGTGAATCGCATGACTTGGGTGGGTTTGGGCCAACACATGCACCAACAAGATGGCTGCGCCATCTTAGCTCTGCACAAAGGACGTACGTTCCTCCAGCACACATTCGAAGGATCTGTGGGTGGCGGCATCGAAGAATTGAACCAGCTAAGCGATCATGACTGCTATAAGAATACCATTTCTTCACAAAGTGGCAGATACTGGGTTAAAAATCCGCATCTCATTGCATTGGTGATGATGCACTGTGAAGAAATAGTGCAGCAAGCTTCCCAAGAAGATTCTGTGGCTGGCCTGTCCCGTTTTCTGCTGGCCAAATTCCCGTGTCGTGTGCTGAAGAATCGCGACCCGCAGTCCGCAGAGCAAGCGCAGAATGAGCTGGATGAGTGTTTCAATTCTTTGGGCTATGATCAGGTGGTGTCAGCTATGGCACACGTGCTGACAATCAGCAAGTTGCTCTTCCCGCACAATGAAGCACGCGATGATGATGCAGAGCACCGCTGCTTCTCACATGTGAGTGGCTTACACACCATGTCAGTCGCTGCGTCAGTGAAACAGCAGTTCATCAACACTTTTAACAAGTACGTTGACAAGGTGCGCGCTGACCAGAAAGTGTTGGGTGGTCAGAGCAGCCGGCTGAACAAGGAGAAGACCAGAGCCTTGCAGTTCATCGCTCCATTAGATGTCTTTGAAAAGGTGATCGCTTGGCTTTTGCAGAAGGATGGGCACAGGCTGACAGAGGGGCAGGACACTGAGCTCAGCGGCGAAGAGATCATCCGGTCTCTGGCGCATGTGAGAAGCTCAGTGCATATTGAATGTGACGTGACTGGAAAGTTCACAGCAGGATGCTCTCAGAATGTGAGGGCACCCTGACTGTTTGCAAACTATTTCTGATAGCTGCGCATTTTCTGAACGGTATCCGCGCCAGTGCGCTCATAGACATGTGAACATCACCCATAAAAGATGCCGCGGCCGAAGGCCTGTCATGGACATGTGAAAAGCTACTGTGTGTGACTAAGGTGAACATAGAGCAAGCTGCCACTGTTTTCAAGCCCTCACAGATCCATCCTTCCGCGACGACGGAAGCTGTGGAGACAGCAGTGGAGCTTGGCAAGTGGTTCCACGCGAGTTTCCAGAACACTGTTGGGGCTCGTGCGTTGGTGAGCGAGTTCAAGACTGAGCGCAGCAACATGATTCTCTTACCTCGTCCTTGCGTGAAAGAAGCTGCCGGCCTCATTTCGCATGAGACGCGTGCGCATGTGTGCCTCGTTGTATTCACAGGGCGGGTAGTTAGAGTCAAAGGGTCGGCATTGGGCAGGTGCGCGGTTGGGCTGCCCAAGAAGCAGGGGTGCAATTAGGGATAGGCTGCTGTCATGACCGGGGTTTGGAACTTGCTAAGGAATATTGCAGCTGCATTGGAGTGTCTTTCTTTGAAGACATGGACCTTGAAGGCTTTCGCCTTGAATGCAGAGCACACCGCGGCACAAGTGCGGGCCAGACTTCTAGACCTTTTGATTTTAGCGATGATGGGTTTCGTCGTCATGGGCTGCGGCCGCTACGCTCTAGTTGGGTATGCCGAGGATGACGAGGATTTTGTCATTTGCTGCAACAGGCCTGAGCAGCGCAAGTGCACTTAGATAAATCAAAATGTCTTGCGTGTCTGTTTTGCCGTCATGTTGTAGAGAGTCTGCAAGGCAGCTGGCAAAGTTGCAAGAGATAATCTAGAATAAGTTGGTCCACGTAGCCTTGAAGGAGCCCTCTAATTGTAAACACAAGTCGCGGCATGAACTTCAACCATATAGCATGCTAGCGCGAGGCTCACCAGTTGGGATGCTGAAGCTGATCTTGCTGCTGTCCGGTCTTGGGTACCAACCAGTGGAGCAGAGAAGCCGAAGCTGGACCAGGATGCATGTGATGATGCCATATCGTGCATCCACCGTCTTCTGCGGGGGGAAGCTGCAAATGTGGATGGATGTCGAGATGTGTTCATGGTGGATCCTCTCGTGCCTACGCAAGCGTGTCCGGCGCCAGAGACGGCAGTTCCCTTGACGCAGGAGGCTGTGGACGATCAGGCCCCACCAGCAAAGAGGTTGCGGCGAGAGAAAGACTTGCGTCGCAATGACTTCTCCAGCAATGTGCCTTTGGCAAAGAACATACTTCTGTACTGACTGAAGTCAGCAGCCTCAAGGGTGACTGTGCGGGTGATACTGGATGTCACAATCGAGGCACTGTGCTCAGGCAGAGGAATTTGCAAGGGTCGCAATGTGTTTCGCTTGGGAGCTGAGGCAGGGTTGGCTTCCTTAGGCCCTCAAGGTGGCACCTGGACTGGCGTAAAGCCGCCTCCTGAGCATGAAGCCGCAGTTGTGACACTTCTGCGAGAGCTGTTTGAGAATAACATGCAGGGGGTGGAACCAGCTATAAGGAAACGTGGAGTGGCAGAGATCTTTGACATGGGTAAGTGTGAAGCTGCTTTGGCATTGTTGCGCTAAGCAGCACCGGTGTGTGCGCTGTGCAGTGTCCAACAGGGCGCGCAACATGGAGCGTGCGCTGCGCGCGGCAGGAATCAATCCCTGTAGGAGCACTTGGTAGTCGAACCGGTTTTGTTGCCTTAAGGGGGGTTGGCTAGCCACCCGCACGTATTAGCGCGGCAATTTGGGGCTGGCTAGCCGCCCCATTTTGGGAATTTGATTTTTTGAAATTACATTGTCGTGTGACCATGACGGAGGCATAAGGCTTAGGGCATGCTGGTTTTGTCGCAGCAGCGCAGCAAGTGCATGGGAAACGCCGCTGTGTGTTGCGATGGTGGAGCGCTGACAAAGGCGTAAACAGAACAGGTCTTCTAAGGAATTGTGCGGGGCCACGTAGGTTCCACAGTTCGCATGTTTCAGAAGCATAGTGCCGTCATATTTGCAAGACCAGCAAACAATATAAATGTAAACAAGCTCCTAAAATTGTAGAAACTAGTCCCTGCGCTAAGCAACATAAGACCCACATAGACCCACTGTTCTGATTTTTGACAACATCCTGTCCTCAGAATCTCACGCCCGGCAAGCCATCGCTGTGTCCCTGCCATGTCGCATGTCCACGTTGAAGTGGTGACTGGTGAGCGACACACCGTAACCACCGCGCAGCGGCAAGCTGTGGAAACGGAGACCAAGTGCAAGATCTCCTTGAGAGCGAGAAAAGGGCAGAGGCAGCTGCGCGTGGAAGGCAGTGTTTTTGGTGTCCAACTGGCAAGGAGAATGATGCACGAACTCATGTTGGAAGGATTGGATTTCAATGTTTTTGTTTGGGCCGCGGGGAGGCGACTGGGAAGGCGATAGCGTCCCCAAAGTCTAGAGCAAATAAGTTGCAAATTTCAGAGAGCCGTTAGAGTCTGCCAACATTGCATGGTAGGACGGAGGCTGACAACGACATCGCCCAAGACTGCTCCTGCTTTGTCGGGCACTGCGGCTTTGCTACCACCATGGCGAGCAGCTCCTCCGGTTATGCCTCCACCACCGAAGAGATGTACCTTGGCTGATAGTTCAAACATTTGGGGTTGATGTTGCTTTGTTTGGAGAGACACCTACTTTTGCCCGGGAATAAGTTTGAGGTGTGGGTTTTCAATGCGCTAAAACTAAAACATTGCACAGGTCGATTGGCGGAGGATGCCACACCACTTGTAGCCTCAGCATCCAGCAGCACTGTGCCCGCGTCAGCGAGGACCGCACCAGCTGCCCAGACCATGCCCGCTGCATTGCGTGGATTTAGCTTCACCTTCCATGTGCTTAGGGTACAGCACATAGTTGGAGGCGACTACCCAATCTGGCCGCCGTTTAAGCATCCACATTTTTCCCCTTTTTTGTAGAAAAAAAATTGGTTTTACGAGTAAACAAGAATTGATTCAATACGACGACGACGACGACGACGACGATGACGACTACTACTACTACTACTAGTACTAGTACTAGTTAAGTCAAAGTTTCCACTACTACTACTACTACTACAACTACTACTACTACTACTACTACTCCTCCTACTACCGGCGTTTAAGGTTTTCACTTTTTCCCCCTTTTTAGTTTTAAGTATTTTCAAAATTTTAGCTTTACGAGGGTATTTTATATTTACGCGACTAGTAGTAGGTAGTAGCAGTAATATTAATGGTAGCAGTGATAGTAGCAGCAAAGCTAGTCAGCAGTTAGGTAACCCAGAGCATCCTAGATTGATTTTTTTTGAATCGAGGTTGAATTTGTCAATCGAAAACAAAGCAAACATTAATTTCAATTGAAATTTTGGAATTTCAACCTACACTTTTTTAATAGAATTTTCAACAAACATTTGATTCAAAAATCAAATCGAAAATCAAAAACACTCCAAAAAAAACGTAAATCGTCTCTTCAATATTTCCCTGAGCATCGGGTATTGGTTACAATCAATTTCTTGGTTTTCACAATTGATTTTAAGTCAAAACAAAACATGTATGCTGATTTTTTGCTTTTGATTTTGGACCTCAAACGTTGTTTTGGTTTTGATTTTGGACTGCCACCTTTTGGGGTCACAATCTGTGCTTTGAAAAAGGCATTTGCCTTGAAAAATGCACCTGCCCCTCCCCTTTTGGGACAAGATCCATATTTCAACCCAACATTCTTATATACAAATTTGATACCTTGTTTGTTTGTTTGTTTGCTTGTTTCTTCTAAAGGCGGGGTGCAATTTATGTAAAGACCTGCTGCAACGCCAGAATGGCTAGGCAAAAGGGTGGAAAAGGTATAAAATACATACGTACTAACAAATTGCATGATAATTATGTGTATATAGAAAAATCTATTCAATTAATTTCAATTAAAATAACAAACAATAATAAAATATTATATAATATAATACAATAAAAAATAAAACCAGGAAACATAATAAGACAGAACAATATATAATGAAATATACGAAAAAAATATTAGACCAACAATTTATTATAATATAATAAAGTAAATATGTAGGTAAAAAAAATAAGTAAGTAACAAGTAGATTAAAAAATATAGTGAACCACTTGCAGATAGAAAATTGACGTAACAAAAAAAATGAAGGTTACGTTCGGAACACTTTTTGGGTTTTGACAGACAGGCAAATTAAAAACAGAAAAAACTTTACGTTTGTAATTGAATTACGCCCTCAAAATCACAAAACGTAACAAACCACATGGTTTTGTGAACTTTTGCAATTTAATGTATATATATATACATACATGTGAAATCAATTCTTGCAGATAGAAATTTATACAGGAAATTAGCTCCGGTGATCTTAAATTACTTTTTTTGTTCTTTTGGAATACCATTGGCAGTAGCTACGTGCAAAGTATTTGCAACATTTTGAAAACCACGGGCAACACTTTGCAACACTTCAGAAATTCCAAAAGATCTGCATGCATCGGTATCTTCATTATAGGAGGAGCAATCAGCAAAAAAATCATTTAATCATAAGTAACCCATAATTAATCATAAACAACCCATTACCATATAAATGGCCCCAAAAAAAAGTTTATTCATGACCAATCAATTTTTATGGCAAGAAATCCCATCAACTTGACTGGCAAAGATGCATTTTATTGGGGGACCTTCCATTTCTTCTGGTTCCAAGGTTCCAAGGTTCCATCATTCGCGCGCTTCCCCAAATGGGGGTAGTCTGGATTTCCAAGGTCAATGAATCAAACAAAATCTATATGAATATTATGCTTTGCTTCGCACTTTAGGTTTTCCCCTTTTTTCTTGTTATCATGTTTATGAAATAAATAAATAAATATATATATATATAGACATGTATTTGATCTCTTTTAATGAAATATATTTGATACATATTTTTTATATAGTAAGAACACCCACCTGCCAAAACCCCTTCACCCCCTGAGCAGTTCCTCGGCGACTTGAACCAGAGTGTGGGTCCTTGAGCTCAATAATTATTATTCAATAAACCTTCCCATTTACCTCCCACTTGCAGCAAGGCGCAGTAGTGTTCAGTGGCACGGCGCAGAAACTAAATAAAACACACAGTACGCATAGCATCCATTGTTTCCTGCACTAGTTCGCAGCAGCCCAAAGCCCACAACTTGCCAGCTGCACATTATTTGCAGCATTTTGGAAACCACACGCTACTTACATACTACCTACCTGCTGCACGCGCACAAGCTGCAATCAGTGTTTCTCGGTTTTTTTTTCTTATTCTATAGGTTCCGGTGTGGTGGTACCGGAGGTTCCGGCGCGGGTTCTGAGGTTTGTCGTCCGTCACCAGGGTTGAAACTTGATAGGTTCACTGGACGTAGCAGTGCATGGTTCTCCTGAAAGGACAATGGTCCATACACACTATGTGTGGAAAATGTTACTCCAACAAAATGAAAACTAGAGCGTGCCAGAAATGCCTATCGAGGAACGTCATTGTTTTTCGAATGATGAATTCCCAAGGATGTTACTTGAAGGGTGTCGTAAATGTCTTTAGGGTACCTATCAGTTTGGCATATTTGGAAACTGAATAATGCAACATTTTGCTTTAAAGTCTGATTTTTTTGGAAACTAGTGCTGTCATGCGTGCCTACCACATTGGCCACTGGCTGTTGATGGATTCATGAGTTTGAGGGGAGAAAAAAGCAGACATAAGCAGACAGATCTCAGGTCAAAGTCCGTTAGAATGAAACATTCCCGACCCTGTTTGGATTAGTAGTTTTTCATGTCAACCAGACACAAAAATCACAGATAGAAAACTGTGACAGATATATATATATATACATGCTTTTCAACTTTGGCTTTTTGGCTTTGGATTGTGATTACCACTGCAAAAATATACATATATATATATACACCTATTTATATTGATGTGGAAGTAAATTGAAATCAATCCTAAATTGATTGCCAAGTGAATCTAAACTAGATTGACGTTTTTGAATAACAACATATCATATATGAAATCGAAATGACATAAACATGAAATTCTGGACTCTGGACTGAATCTAAACCATTTTTTTATATAGTTCCGGAATGGTGGTAAGCACCAAAAAAACTGCTTACTGACGACGCGAAAACGCATTTCTCCCATTTTTCTGAAAAACATCATCTCAAAAAACAAACGACAAACATTATGAAATATGATAAAGAACAATGTAAAGAAAAGAAACCATCAAAATCCTGAAAATTGATGAGAAAAT